AGAAAACACGCGTGGGAACTGCGGGAACAAAAAACACACGTGTGTGTTTTTCCCACGGGTGTGTTTTTTTCCCACAGTGTGTTTTCTTCCCACGGAGGGCGGCGCGGCGCACGCCGCGCAGCGGGCGCCGCCCAAAACCGTCCGCGGCCGCTGCTGGCCGGGTGGCCTCTTGGTCTCGGCATGGGGCGGCGCCCGCCCGGGGCGACACCGGCAGCGAACCCTGGCCAGAATGGGCAGTGGCTGCTGTCGGTCCTCGACCCCGTCTTGTCTGTGCCCCCCTCGATCCGGTAGAGGGAAACAATTACTGAACGCTCTCCCTCCCCCCCAAACTCAATGTTGGCACGCGCGGGGGAGGCTGCGGTCGGAGTGCATCTCATCAGACCCACCGCCAACTTTGAACATTGGGGGGAGAGGGAGGCGTTGACCGTTGAATGTGGCATGTGTTCGCTAACTTGTTCCGAGGCCTGTCGCACCGATAGAAGGAGGGGACGGCGGAGATCGACGACCTGTCGTCCGAGCAGGGCGATGTGGGACAACGGCAACTCAACGTCGATCCCCAGACCCCCCCGGGGTCCAGACGCACCAACTTTCCGAGCTGCGTCCAGCCGCGGCGACGAAGGTGCCACCCGAAGGCCAACTACCATTTTCTCAACTTGCCCGCCTCTGATGTCGCCGAATCGAAAGTATGGCGGCGTCCCGGCTGGGGTCAAGAGAGATGGGGTCGAAAGATCGCGTCGTATCGCCGATGCATTCGCGAAGCATCGGCGACGTCGGCGATGCATCGGCGCCGTCGGCGTGGCGAAAATCGGTCTCCACATCTAGCCACATCGCCGATGCATCGGCGATGCGGCGCGATTCTCTGAGCCCATCTGCTCTGACCAACCCAATCTGGGAGGCCTAGAGAGGAGGATGGATGAGCGGAGGGAGCTGCGTGCTGTTGTCGCTGTTCATGTCCGTGCAGGTCTTGAAACGGTAGGGGCGGGAAGAGAGGAGGGGAAGGAGGAGGAGGAGGAGGAGGAGGAGTAGGAGGAGGAGGAGGAGGAGGAGGAGGAGGAGGAGGAGGAGGAGGGTGGGGGTAGAGGGGAGGGGAAAGAGAGGAGGAGAGGAGAAGAAGGAGTAGGAGCTTGAGCAGGGAGGAGGAGGAGGAGGAGAGAGAGGAGGAGGAAGGAGCAAAAGGAGGAGGAGGTGGAGGAGAAGGAGGAGGAGAGGAGGAGAAGGGAAGGAGGAGGAGAATAATGAGCAGGAGGAGGATGAGGAGGAGGAGGACGAAGAGAAGAAGGAGCAGGAGGAGGATCCGGAGGGGGAGAGGAGGAGGAGGAGGAGGAGGAGGAGGAGGAGGAGGAGGAGGGGGGAGGAGGAGGATTAGGAGGAGGAAAAGGAGGATGATGAGGATGAGAATGAGATGAGAATGAGGATGAGGATGGGATGAAGGTGATGATGATGATGATGATGATGATGATGTGATGAGGAGGAGGGAAGGAGGAGGAGGAGGAGGGGGAGGACGAGGAGGAGGAGGAGGAGGAGAGGAGGATGTGAGGGTGAGGAGGGGGGAGGAATGGGAGGGAGGAGGATTACGAGGAGGAAGAGGGACGAGGAGGAGGATGAGGATGAGGATGAGGAGAGGATGATGATGATGACGATGACGATGACGATGATGATGATGATGATGATGATGATGATGATGATGATGATGATGATGCTGATGATGATGATAAGAAGGAGAAGGAGGAGGAGGAGGAGGAGGAGGAGGAGAACGATGATGAGGAGGAGAAGAATGAGCAGGAAAGGAGGAGGGGGAGGAGGATGAGGAAGGGGGAGGAGAAGCAGAAGGAGCAGGAGGCGGTGAGGCGGAGGAGGGAGGAGGAGGGGAGGAGTGGAGGGGGGAGGAGGAGGAGAAGGAGGAGGAGGAGGGGAAGGAGGAGGCGGAGGAGGAGACGAAGCAGCAGGAGAAGGCGGGAGGAGGAGGAGGAGAAGGAGGAGGAGGGGGGGAGGGGGAGGAGGAGAAGAAGCAGGAGGAGGAGGATGAGGAGGATGAGGATCAGGAAGATCAGGGGGAGGAGGAGGAGCAGGAGGAGGAGAAGAAGGAGCAGGAGGAGGATGATGATGATGATGATGAGGAGGAGGATCAGGAGGATCACGAGGAGGAGGAGGAGGATCATGAGGATCATGAGGAGGAAAACCACTGTAAACCCAAGAGTTGTTATCAACGATGTTGGCATTTGCCCTACCTCCAAGCTCCCTCTTCATAAGTCCTACAAGGGCTCATTTCCATTTAGGGAGCTGCCGTGTTAGAAGGCAACCGTTTGAAGACCTTGAAGCATGCCACATCATTATTCTCTGGCTTTCCACGCCACGGGTAAACTTGACTGGTGCGTCCTGACGATCTGGAATCATGCCAGAATGCCAGTGTTTCGAATGAAACACAGCGAATCAACATAACTGTTTCACCAGCATAAGCCTGAATTCTTCCAAAACGCGATTTCTGGTACGTTGATCATGGGAGCCCGTAAAACTCGTGCACATGTTCAAAACAAATGTGCGCGGCGCTAAGGCGAGAGCCACATGTTGGAAACCATCCGCCCTTAATCCGTGAAGCTCTTGCACATTTGTAAAATGAATGTGCGCGGCGCTGAGGCGAGAGCCACATGTTGAATACCACCCGCCCTCTATCCGTGAAGCTCTTGCAAACTTTAACAACGATTGTGCGCAGCGCTACGGCGAGAGCCACATTTTGAAAACCACCCGCCCTCCATCTGTGAAGCTGCAGTCATTCTTTAAGCTTCAGAATCGTACATGGTGCGGAAGTATCATGCGAAACGCCCGGCCCGCCCTGAAAACTGGTCTCGGGGTGCGACAGGGAGAAGTTATTCAGAAGGCAAAGGAATAGAGGAGGAGAAGGAGGAGGAGGAGGAGGAGGAGGAGGAGGAACAGCAGGAGGCTGAGGAGGAAGAGGAGGAGGAGGCGGAGGAGGATCAGGAGGATCAGGAGGAGGAGGAGGAGGAGGAGGAGGAGGAGGAGGAGGAGGAGCAGGAGGAGGAGGAGGAGGAGGATCAGGAGGAGGAGAAGGTGGAGGAGGAGGATCAGGAGAATCAGGAGAATCAGGAGGAGGAGGAGGAGGAGGAGGAGGAGGAGGGTCTGAGGGTCTGACTAAATGCGGGTCAAGCCCGCCTCGCCACTACGGGCGCAAGAGCCCCTGGCGCGCCAGGGCCGCGCCGCGCCCCGACCCCAGGGGGGTGCCAGCCCCACGCAGGTTCGCATCGGGGCGAAAGAAAACCGAAACAAAACCGAGCCCCCAGCCCCAGGGCGGCCAGAAGGGGAAACCGAAGCCGAACCCCACAGAAGCTGGCACCCCCCCGAGGCCACTCAGGCCTTCCAAGCTTTGGACAAGTGAGGCCACCTGTCCAGAGCTCCACCTTGTGGTACTCGACGCCCTGCTTGTCCATTACGGCGAAGCCGAAGGTGACGAGCGGGCAAATTCGCCAAAAACGCCGTACAAATCGACGGCCTTCACGCCCGACACGGGAGTCAACCAGAAGTCGACGACCCTGCAACCTGGACGTCCCCGATGATCCTCTGGAAGAGCGTCGCGTCGAGCGTACCAAGCTCCGCCAGCGCCGACGCCTGGCCCAGGATTTCCTCAATGAAGGCCTGCTTCTCTGTGAGGCCCGTGCCGCCCACAGCCTTGACCTTCGCCTTGGACTGCTCGCCCTGGCCGTTGTCGCCGCCCTGCTTGTCCTTCTTGCCTTTCTTCTTGCGCTTGCCTTTGGTCTGGAAGCCGCCGCCACCAGCCGTGTCGCCCTCACCAGCGATGTCGAGGCCCTCGCCGTCGTCGCCAATGTAGTACTCCTCCAGGCCGCGGCGCTCGTCGACCTCCTCCTTGAAGCCGCCGCTCTTCTCGCCGATGACCAGAGACTCGTCCAGGCTCAATCCCTGCTCAGCTTCAGCGTCTTGTTGCGGCGGTGAGCTTCCCATAGTCGCCGCGCCAGCGCCCGTTTGGCCTTCACTCCAGTGAGCCCGATCACCACGTTGGGGTACTGCTGAGATTTCGCCTCCTGAGCGCGTTGGCGGGCAGACTTGAGTTGGGCTCTCTTCTTCTTCCCAAGCTTCTTCATCCCAGGTTGGCGACGCCGCGGCTTTGGCATCACCTCCAGGGTGGTCGCTGCGTTGGGCCGGCTGCGGGGGTTGGCAATTTTCCCAACCCCCGCCGCGGCCCCGCCCGCCGCGGTGGGCGGGCCCCTTGCCGTTGTCGAGCCGGCCCCCGCGCGGGGCGAGGCACACGTCGACGTCCAGAGGACCTCGCTCTTGACCTTCACCCAAGTGCCCGTCTCGTCCTTCAGCCAGCCCGCTTTGAGCCGCTCCGCGAAGTAGCGCGCCTTGCCGGAGGGCGCCCGCGGCGGAGAGACGATCTTGCGGTTGTACTTGACCTCCTTCCCCGACGGCTCCACTTTCGTCGGCTCCTGCAGGTCCTTCAGGGTGAGCTTGCCGTAGCCCAGCCCCAGGACCGCGAGGGAAGGCTCCGAGTGGTTCGCCAGGTAGTTGGCCTGCATCTTGCTGTCCAAGAAGCCGTAGCCCACCGACCGAGCGAGCTCCCTCTGCTGCGCCAGGATGCTGGTCCCGCCCATGTGCGGCGCCAGGGGCATCCTCGCCTTGGACGTAGCCATCCGTGCAGATGACGAGGTGCCAGGAAGAGTCCCCGACCTCGCCCTCGATCTTGCGGATGAGGCGGCCGATGTGGGCGCCCGTGTCCTCTTGCTTCACCAGCGAGTCGCCGATGAAGACCTGGATGTTGCGGCTCATCACGCCGCCTGCATGGGCTCGGGGCGGCAGTGCCCCCTTCACGCGCGCCGCCCCAACCGCCCCCCTCGGGCAGGAAAGGGGCTAGGAGGAGGAGGAGGAGGAGGAGGAGGAGGAGGAGGAGGAGGAGGAGGAGGAGGAGGAGGAGGAGGAGGAGGAGGAGGAGGAGGAGGAGGAGGGAGGAGGAGGCACGCGGGGAGGGCCGC